TTTATTTATTTATTTATTTATTTATTTATTTATTTTTATTTGACCAGAGAGGACAGAGTGAGAAAGAGAGAAAGTGACAAAGCAAGCCACCAGGTTCGGGACTGTAACACAATTGGCCACATGGGAGCCCAGCTCCCTTAACCACCATGTCATCTCCTGGCTCCGATGTATGTGTTTTTATGCCAGTGCTATGCTGTTTTGGTTACTACATCTTCGTAATATATCTTGAAGTAAGGTAGTATGATGCCTCTAGCTTTGTCCTTTGTTCTAAAGATTGCTTTGGCAGTTTAGGGTCTTACATGGTTCCACACACCTTTTAGGATTCTGTGTGTATGTGTGTGTGTATGATGAATGTAACTGGCATTTTGTATTGAATTTATAGATCACTTTGGAGAGTATGAACATTTTGATAATATTAATTCTTTTTAAAATATTTTTATTATCAACATAATCTTTATATTCCATTGGATTACATATAACTTTACAGTGTATCACATTGCTTTTTCAAAAGGGAATGCCATGCATGTCAGTCAATACAGAGACATTAATCTCCCCACTGCATCATTCAATATCTTTTCTATGTTTTTCCCAATCATTATTATTATTCTAATTATTTTTTTAAACAGTCAATCATTAGACAATATTAATTCTTATAGTCCATGGACTAGAGATATTTTTCCATTTTCCTGTGTCTTCAATTTTTTCTTTTATGATTTATACTTTTCATTATAGAGGTACTTTACATCCTTGGTTATATTTATTCCCAAGTATTTTATTTTATTTGTAGCTATTGTAAACGGGATTGTTTTCTTGATTTCTTTTTCAGGTAGATTGTTGTTAGTGTATAGAAACTGCTGACTTTTGTATGGTGAGTTCAGATTTTGAATCTTTCCTGAATTCATTTATTAATTCTTATACCTTTTAGATGGAATCTTTATGATTTCCTATATATAACATCCTTTTATTTCCAAACAGAGACAATTTACCTTCTTCTTTCCTATTTCTATGTCTTTTCCTTCTCTTGCACTCAGTTGCATGACTAGGACTTCCTAGTTCAATGCTATGTTTGATAGAAGTGCAGAGAGTGGACCTTCTTGTCTTGTGCTTGAGCTTAGAGTGAAAGTTTTAAACCTTTACCTGTTATTTATAATTTTAGCTGTGGGCTTGTCATACTTAGCTTTAATTGTATTGAGGTATATTT